GCTACTGGCTGATTCTTAGCAGTTTCCAGATGAATGATGAATTCGCGAACCAAGTTTTCTTCATTGCAGGAGAAATAAGAAACATAGTCGACGGAAAAATTATGTAACCAACTTGTATATTAAAAGGCGATTAATGATCTCGAACATTAACGCACTCGCTTCGCTCGCACGTTGAAATATCTCGATCATTAATCGTCCTCATTAATACACTACCCAGCCAGCACAAAGAGGTCCTAAAGATATCTTGAAGAAATCCTTTTAGGAAATTGTGATGCCTTTTGTAACTTCTTTGAGAGATCGCCGAGAGTGCTATATCTAGGCCAAATGTCCGCCACCTAGGCTGAGCTCAGCGAGGTCTTGAAGATATCGCACGCAGAAATTCTCATACAATGCCCTCAGGCGCGCACTTTGAGATATACGCTTCCATCGCCACTGGCGATAACTGAAAGTGCTCGCAATCATGAGCTGTTTGAGAAATTCGCATACATTGCTTTGTGACGAGGACATTGGGAGATTCGCATCATTTGCTTCTGTCGAGGTCTTTATGTGCTCGCGACTACGAGCTGTTTGAGATTTTCGCACGCATCTCCTTGTGAAGAGAACTTTGGGAAATTCGCATCAATTACTAATAGCGAACTCTTCAAGTGCTCGCAACTATGAATATTTCAAGAATCCGTGCACATCACCTTATAACGAGGCCTTTATAAGAGCGATATTTGCATCAATCGCCACATGATCGCCACTAATATGGTAAGGTTTTCAAAGTTTGAGAAGTCATTGGTTATCAGCAGTCTCCTGTCGGCAAAGTCTAACTAGCGCCAGCTATATTGTTTGGGGTGGAGTTAAATTCACTGGATATTTGTTTCAGCGAAAAAGATTGAGTTACCAAACTCAGAGTTAGATCAACGTAATGAGCTTTAATTATATATTATTCTATAGCAAGACATTGATCAACTAAACTTTATCACTTGAAAAAATCTCCGAGGAGTTGGCCGGGTATCCTTTAAAAAAAAAGGTCGTCCGATATCTACCCACGAATTTGAGGTAGATATTTGATTCTCGATCCCACCTGAATTAGAACATTTTTGTCTTTTTCGTCAGAGCAGATAATTAATTATCATTAATTCACTGCAAAATTTGAAATAATCAGTAAGAAAATCTAGTATCTAGTATACAATTATTATTATCATAGATTAATGAATCCCATTCCATGTTAATACTGGGTGTCCCAAGTTATCGTGAAGGTACCGGCAAAAACTTGCTTACTCGACAAGATGAACAAAAAATAGTAAAAATGCTTCAAATAACATCAGAGAACTTTCTTTATGACTCAAAAAAAAAGAGTATAAGATTGGACAGCCACCTGGTAGTAACTCCTCAATTTTCATTGAATGGACTCCCTGTATATTGTCATTGAAAATTGCCAATCATCCTATTTCCGGAATGAACGATAGCACATCGGTACTTTGTACTTTGTTCATTAATAACAACATCAACAATAAGATTATTTGACCTCATTTACGTTACATCGATTGAAAATTGCCTCCTCCCATGTTCGTAAAAATGTCCCACAATGAAATTAGATTAATTATTACACTAGGTAGGTACCGTCTGCAATGATTGATGTTCTGCAGTTCAAAATGGAATATCTGTCATTAATATTTTGAAACAAAAATGCAATCCATACTTCTTATTTGTGAACTTCTTGAACACATGGGTGAAAGCAATTTGTCGTTGTATTCCAAATAGATTGACACGCAATTTTCAGAGACAATATGCTGCTAGATCAGTATCTACCATCCGGGGGCTGCCAAATATATCACATTCTTCATAAGCCATTAGGAAGGTTATTTAATGCCATTTAATGCAGTTTTTTAATGCTTTTGATATCTTGACAAATAGGCGAGATATTGCCTGTAAACGATAACTTGGGACACCCAGTATTTGAATTATAAAGGCTATTGAAAAAAACAACTCAATATTTTTGTAGGAATATTCATTAATTATTCAGGTTATGTTTGTGATTACTTTAGGAGCTCGCAATGGGAAATTCTCGATCTTGTTACGTCCAGGATATCCTTGGGTGCTCGCAGAAAGAAATGCCTATATTCATTTCCTGTTATAGATAACCTCAAGGATTCGCAATAATGAGGAATATATCAAATCTGAGGCGAGATCTCCGCGATTTCTTTCGGACGACTCCAGAGAGTATTTCCCATGGTGGCAGCCTATAGTGATCTTTGATATCTCGCAGAAGGATTTCGCATTTTGATCCTGAAGATAACTACTTAGAAATATCGCGGAGAGTACCGTGTTACCTGGGTAGTTGATTAATAGTTATTTAACCAACTAGTGTTTTAATGAGGGCGATTAATGATCGAGATATTTTAACGTGCGAGCGAAGCGAGCGCGTTAATGTTCGAGATAATTATTCGCCTTTTGATATACAAGTTGGTTACAAAATTTTTCCGTCGACTATATTCCTCATTTCTCCTGCGATAAAGAAAAATTGGTTCGCGAATTCATCATTCATCCGGAAACTGCTAGGAATCACCCAGTAGCCTTGTTACTGACATAAGTGACATTTGACATTTGTCGAAATGATCAACATAGAAAATAAATGCCTTGTTTTAGAAAACAGAGATAAAAATCGTGTCAGAAACTTGGAAAGACGAACCAGTAAACGGAAAATCTTCGATGAAATCCATATTTTCGATTTAAATGCAGATTCCGTAAGTTATGGCATAGACAATGAATGCACGCGGTGTATGTTTGGTTGCCTATAAAACAATCGTGCATTAATAGACAAATCGTTGATTAATAGGGGTCATTAATGAACGATTTCATATACATTAAACTTAGTCGTTAATGCGAGGTCGACGGAAAATAACTATTCCACAATTATTTTGGCATATGAATCGTATTTTTCCACTATTCATCAATTCGCTCATGCCATCACATTGTGTTGTTGTAAAATGCACAAAAACTGCAGCGGACGGTGAAGGAATCCGGATGGTACATTATGATTTGAAAGTAAGTACCTACTATAGTCACTCACATAGTTTTCATTTTTGAAATTTGGTTATTTCTCTGATTTCTCATCGGAATTCCTTCTGCAATAGGAGCTAATAGAAATATACCTGAAATTTCTAGAATAAAGCAAAAAGATTGGATTCATGCAATCAATCGGGAGGACTGGTCTGACATGCTGACGATCGTGTGTGTTGTAGACATTTTCAATCTATTAGCAGCTTTAGCTTGTATTGCAGAAGTGGCAGAAGGCAGAAGGAATTTAAATAAGGAATGACAACATTTCATTATGATAACTATGTGAGATTACTATTTACCTGAAAAATCATATTCCTTAGTCTCTTGCTGCATTTTTTGTGCATTGTGCAACAGCACAATGCGAAGGCATGCTTGAATTAATGAATAACGCAAGAAACACGATTCGTATGCCAAAATATTTTGAAAAACTATTTCAACCTTTTGATTCCTCTGTAACCAAATAAGAAAGTGAGGTTGTGTTTCAATATTTCACAGAAGAATGAGGTTGTGTTTCAATATTTTGCCTCCAGGGTCGGTCTTCGTGCACGCGACCTATAGTTGTACGCTTTTTTATTGAATATCACTGATGTACTTACACTCAACTAATCTTATTATCCATTATTTCTATATATCTAAAATGTCACATCGTAGTTGCCGTCGGAAAATTTCTTCCTTTGATTTTCAGATTGGGATTGATGACATATCGAAAAAATATTTCAACGGCTACTATGATTTTTTGATGTATGACAAATTGGATATTCACCATACAGGACATGGAAAGGAATTCTGAATTGAGAAAACGTAATCACGAATCTGCGATTGAGGTCTATAAACATATCAAGTTTCCATCGTTCAAGTTTTAACCCCTTGATTGCGTGAAAGTATTGAAAAGGAATATCCTCAGATAAAATCATGAACATGAAAAAATGGATATTATATGGAGAAATACATTGAAAATTCGAATTCTGTATGTGATGGAAATATCAATTCTCTCTTGGTTTATTCAACAGAAAACAACTACTTTCCTGGCTATATGCCACGACGAACATTGAATTATATCTATCAAACACACACGATAAGAATTTGAAAACAAAATCTTCTGAACTTGGGATATTTTTTTTATTAGGAAATTCGGAAAAGGTTGAACCTATAATCCCGTGGCGGAACTGCGAGCACTGAGGAGGGACAAATATCAATGGATCCTCCTCTTGAAGGTAAATAGATTGTAGTTCGCTGGAAATACATCTGTGGGTAAAGAATTCCACAGTGGAGATGTCCTACAAAAGAAGGAGTTCTTGGAATATGTTTACAAAACATTTTTCCGAATTTCCTAATAAAAAAAAAATTCCCAAGTTCAGAAGATTTTGTTTTCAAATTCTTATCGTGTGTGTTTAATAGATATAATTCAATGTTCGTCGTGGCATATAGCCAGGAAAGTAGTTGTTTTCTGTTGAATAAACCGAGAAAGAATTGCTATTTTCATCAGATAGAGAATGCGAATTCTCAATGTATTTCTTCATATATTATTTTTTCATGTTCATAATTCTATCTGAGAGTATTCGTATGTAGGATAGATATACATATTTTTCGAAATTAAACTACCTCCTCAAATTATGAATCTGACTATTCTTTACTCTCATTATAAAATTATTATTGTGACATTCATTGATTAATTATATAGTTATTGACTCCAGTGCAACTGTAAAAATCAGTCCTTAAGAATAATTAAGAATTAATAATAAATAAATTATATGTACAGTTCCTATACATGTATTTTATCCTATACTCAGTAAAAAACTTAGAAGCTAGACGAAAATATTGGATATCGTAGGATAATCACAGTTCCATAGTTAACTTTGATTTTCGTGATATATTCACCATAATTCAAATCATGATATAGTATATGAATCAGTTTTCTGAACGATTCTCAATATTTTGTGTTTGTTCTCGAACTAGATATTTAATATTACTGGACTTTTGTCTTCTTCATCAGATATTGTGTCATCTTTGAATCTGTTTATCAAATCTTCTAAACGAATTGGTGGCGGTTTGATTTTCTCAGTTTTGCATAGTGCCTGACGAATTTCTTTCCTAGTGTATCTATTGAATACAAAAATTGCTACTGCGAATATCCCTTGGGTGGCCTCTAGGCTGTCAAATATGTATGGATTTCCGAAGTTTGTGGTACTTCTGAGCGACACATCAACAATCCAGATAGCTGTCGTAGTCATCAGTAGAGAGCATGAACGAAACCTAAAAATATCACATTTCTATTTCAATTGGGAATAAATATCATATATTTCATTTAGAGCGTTCCAATGAAAATGTCACAAATTCATTTTCAACCAATTAAAAGGCTCATTTTTGTTTACGTTGCTTATAGTAACGGGAGATTATCACGATGATTTTGTTAGTTCCTATTAGGTTAGCTGTGATGGATGTCATTTCAGATATTCAGTTACGAATAGAAGACAATCACAAATGCGGCATTCTATCTTTGGATCTTTGTAAGGCCTTTGACACTGTAAATCATAATATTTTATTGACTTAATTATCATCAATAGGTGCCAGAGGAAAAATTCATGATTGGTTTCAAAATTATTTGAACCATAGGAAACAATAATATGTTGATGTGAATAATACTTGTAGTTCCTTGAAGAATATTACATGTGGTGTACCGCAAGGGTCAGTTTTGGGGCCAATTTTATTTTTAATTTACATCAACTTAATATCTACTATGAAATTGAAAGGAAAACTAAAATTATTGGCAACAATAATCAACACTTCAAAAGATTTCAACGATATCAATAATGATATTAAAAATGTTTTGAAACAAATATCAAATGGAAGTTGATTAATGCAGAAAGAAAAATTACTCACACACACCCTCACATTTCATTTGTATTTTTTTACTAATGAAAATTATATCTATTTTGGGTAATATTGATCATGAAGTATACTTATAAGAAGCCTCTATATACGTGGTAGGAGTATATCTACAGTTCCTAATGACTCAGTTCTTATGAGTTTCTATCTGAATAAAACAGCGTAGAAGTGTTATTGAGGACAAATTTTATAATGACAAAAACAATAAATCAGTGGCCAAAATCTCAGAAACCAAATGGAGCAGACGCAGGCGTTTCAGTCATGAAGCCAAAACTCCATATATTCGAAACTTGGAAGGATATCACAAATAATCAAGATACACTGACAGAAAGTTGCTACCAACTAGCTCTTAGCACTCACAGTATAGCAGTAGGGCATATTTCAGGAAGTGCTTTATGGTCTATCAACGCGATGTACCTACCAAATTTCGAATTTCCATTTCAACTAATAAGTAAATATGAATGTACAATTTGAAAACGATATAATAATGCACGGTTTGAATACATCGCCCTGTAATGTGACAAACATAATAATATGTATCTATACCCACTGATGATGTCTATCTTACTTTTACTTATTACCAAAATCCAAATACAGCTAAGGTAAATAATGTTCATCAGAACGCACTGTCTGTATTGGTAACTTATCAGGATGATATTATGAGAACAGGACATTGTCAATTAATCACAATAACCTGAATATTAAAATAAGAAGGGATGTTTCTACACTTACCCTCCCCCGCATATGACGCCCCTGAATAGAATTTTGGAATTTTGAATTGAAGTCTTATTTACCATCAAATGTTTATGACGTACACCAATTTTCGAAAATTTATTGTGAAGGATTTTAAATAAGTTATAGGGAAATAATCGTCTTTGAGGTGTCCTATTCAAAGGGGCGCGTAGCTAACTTTAGAAGCATTTTCTGGACCCTTATTAATAGGAACTTTTTGACTTATTCATGCAAGGAATACGCCCCTAAAAGGATGCCGCTTACTTTTGAATCATCCTGTATAGTAAAATGAAGAAGATATCGAAAAAACAACCGAATATCACACAAACTCTTCAAACACGTATTTTTCAGAGAATGTTCAAGAGCAATGGCCATAAATCTAGAGGTAATAAGGTACACATTTCACAATACATACACATTTACAGGCTGATTCACCAAAGATTGCCAATAGAAATAACATGGTGTAATTGGCTTCGATTTGGGAAGGGAAGCAATCCAACGTGATGAAACCCTTATGAAAAATATGTCATACTTCCCATGAATATCGCGATAAGATAATGACATATTTTATATAGAGTAGTGCATGCAAATTTCCCTGAGTAACTATACCGGATGTCCCATGAGTAATAGATCAAAAGAAGTAGGTGGTAAAGGGGGTCATTTGCAATCAAGATATACAGGGTGATCCACGGTGGATGGCCCATTAGAAGTATCTGGAGAACGAAAAGACAGAAAATTCTAAAAATTGGGATGCTTTGATAATTGAACATTCTCTCTCCGTCTAAAAGATTTTCATCGATACAGTGTTGCCACTTCTATCAGAAACAATTAGCAACAGGGTGTTCCTTTTGAAATAACAATGTTGCTAGTTGTTTCTGATAGAATTGGCAACACTGTATCGATGAAATTATTTCAGACGGATAGAGTGTTATATTATGGTCATAATATAATATACACGAGCACAAATGACATGGACAAGGGTTACACTTGATCACAACCCGGCTGCCATCAGCCGAATACTATATGAACCAGTATTTACACACGTCTGTCATAGGCTCTGATCTAAGCACATTCCACTGAGCAGTGGCGCATCCAGTTGCTAGATGCTAACACGGCCATCCTGAGATTGGGACGCTCTCGGCCCAACAAGCTCGGTTTCATCCTGACTAAATTTCATGTCATTTAGAGCTCGTCAGAGAGCACAATTGTTAACCCACCTTGCCATTAGGCCTAGGTGTCAACCCACTTTTACCAGGTCGAGATGTCGACCCACCTTGTCACCAGGCCTAGGTGTCAACTCACCTTGCCACTAGGCCTAAGTGTCGACCCACCTTTACCAGGTCGAGATGTCGACCCACCTTGTCACCAGGCCTAGGTGTCAACTCACCTTGCCACTAGGTCTGAGTGTCAACCCACCTTGGAATACCTACATGGCTTGATAACTCTCTGCTATCTCGGAAATCTCTGTTATCGTTTCATTACCAGCACACAAAATACGACAAGCCCAATCAGTGCACCCCTCCATCGTCACACCCAAGACACGTCGAACAAACCTCCACCAAAACTCGTTTGTCCATAGAATGCCGCAGCTGATGTCGCTGATGATGAAATTACCCCTCATCGGACTAACATGTTATAGTTGATTCTTGATATGTGATGACATCGGCGCTCTTCCGACTTTCGTCGCTCGACAGACTCCAAGTAGTAGCAGCTCATGATTTTTTTTTGATATATCTATGATTTCAAATTTGTAAGCGACGTATTCGACAGCTCAAAGGTTTGTTAGTCAACCGTGTCTCCAAAAGAATAGTTATATGGCAGCTCAGAGGTTTGTTTATCAAACGTGTCTTCAAATATGTTAACGACATATTTGACAGCTCAGAGGTTTGTGAGTCAAACGTGTCTTCAATAAAAATTACAGTGATATGGCAGCTCAGAGGTTTGTTTATCAAACGTGTCTTCAAATATGGCAACGGCATATTTGACAGCTCAGAGGTTTGTAAGTCAAACGTGTCTCCAATAAAAATTACAGTGATATGGCAGCTCAGAGGTTTGTTTATCAAACGTGTCTTCAAATATGGCAACGGCATATTTGACAGCTCAGAGGTTTGTAAGTCAAACGTGTCTCCAATAAAAATTACAGTGATATGGCAGCTCAGAGGTTTGTTTATCAAACGTGTCTTCAAATATGGCAACGTCATATTTGACAGCTCAGAGGTTTGTATGTCAAACGTGTCTCCAATAAAAATTACAGTGATATGGCAGCTCAGAGGTTTGTTTATCAAACGTGTCTTCAAATATGGCAACGTCATATTTGACAGCTCAGAGGTTTGTAAGTCAAACGTGTCTCCAATCAACTTTAGCTTCAACTTCACCTTGATAGTATACTCAATCATGAATCACAACAATTCATTCCACAAATGCATATCAACTTAACCATGATAGATAGAATTCCTTCAGCCAAAAAGCCCAGGTTATCAAAAACCAGAAAGCTCAAACTGAAACCAACCTTCATCAGTCAGAAAGACCAAATTTTCAGAAACCAGAAAGCCCAAACTGATCCTTATCAGTCAGAAAGCCCAAACTAAAACCAACTTTTTTATTTGTGGTTTTTATAATATATGTACTGCAAAAAAAATGCTCATAAACTCATAAACAATATAAACGCACCAACTCAATGGATTCAAACATTTTTTTCTCATTTAAGATCATTATGCAAAGAACAATCATCATCATGCTACAATAACTATATTTCTAAAGTTGAAAACGAAATTATCTCTGATCCCAAATTATTCTGGAATTATATTCGCTCCAAAAATCAGGAGGATGGTATTCTCAATGAGATATTCTTTAATGATGAGGTTGCAACTGATGGCAATTCAATTGCAAATCTTTTGCTAAACATTTCTCTTCAGTATACTCCAGTGACAATACCTCTATAGATCCTAGATCAGACAGTGAATTTGATTCCATCAGCATTAATGAAATATTTATAAATATTTCTGACATTCTAGAAAAACTTCAGAGCATTGATTGGTTTTAAGGGGCTGGCCCTGATACTATACAAGCAATCTTCATAAAATCTTGTGCATTTTCATTGTCCCGTCCACTCTGGATTATTTTCAATAATTCTCTTCAATCAGGAACTTTCCCAGATTTCTGAAAAAAAACTCTTATGTTGTGCCAATTTACAAGAAGTCAGGAAGAAAAGACTCTGTATTAAATTATCGCCCAATCACAAAGATATCGCTCATACCCAAAGCATTTGAATCTATTGTAAATGATTTTCTGAAATTCAAATTCAAAAATATCATCAGCTCAACACAACATGTTTTCTACCAAGAAAGATCTATTACTACAAATCTTTTATTCCATGAGACCTACATTGTCGATGCAGTCAACAAATTTAACACTGATTGTCAATACCAGGCAAAAATTTTGGTTGATAGCGAATAAACATGTTGTAACAACTCATCATCATACCGACATACCACCCTGTATATTTTTTTGCTCTGCCTGTGGAACCCTTTTTTGCCCCGTTTTCGCGAAAACGGCCAGCAAGCGAATAAACAAAAAAAAATATTTGTCTAGCCTCAGATCTTGACTTGTCAACAATGCCAACATTGTTCGTATGT